TAATCTCCCATCCAAGTACTCATGAGGAGTGATCTTGCTTAGCTTCTATAGATCAGCCAAATAAGCTAGGTACTACAACCTAGCAAAGCATTTAAGAGAGAGTGTGGATGTGTGTTTTGAGAGAGAGAGAGAGAGAGAGAGAGAGAGAGAGAGAGAGGCTGGTTGACAATTTCTTTACAAATTATCTCTTTTTTCCCTGGAATGTATATTGTGAGAACTTCAATTCTATGTGAGAACTTTAATGTGACAGCAATGGATTTCTTACCTGTAAAGATTCCAGTAAGTGCCATTCTCTAATAAAGGCATCTTGGGAGGTAGTGATTTATAGTGCCTAACAGAAGTTCTTGAATGTGACAGAAAAGAAGGGGGAAAGAGCCATGCAAGAAACAAAAATATATAGCCAGAGATGAAACAGTGCTTAATGAAATGTTAAAATTATGATGCAGCAAAACATTCATATAAGTCATTTGCTGTTTGTTGGCAAGTACCGTTAAATATTTTAATAGCACATTTTAATAAAGTTGAAACTCTACCTATTGAAGTTGTGCTGCATCAAAGAGAAGAAAAAAAAAAGCAACTCACAGTCAACTGAATTGTTCAGGAGAGCTTTTTTCCCATTCTCCAACTGCCCATGCTTTAGCATAGTTCTAAAGTTTATATTTCCAATATGTATGTACGTATGTATGTATATTAATAAAATAAAATTATAGGGATGGCCTGAATCAGATAGAGGGAAGTGTCTAGGCATCTGATTTTCAATTTCACAAAAGAACAGCAAACCTTTACAAAATAATAACAATATACACACCCCTCACTTCTGTTACTATTGTATAATCATATTTACTTATAGGAGGAAGTACTGATGGGTTATTCTTCCCTAAATGCCAGTGCTTGCCTTGGGGTTAGAAAACTTGATTTGTGTATAATACTCTGCTTTCCACATGTCGCCTGAGGGCCTTTTTTTTTTGTTTTAGTGTGTCTACCAGGATTTCTTTCCACTTTTTTTTTTTTTCCTGTGAATAGCATAAGCTTTTGAAAGTTCCCTGCAAGTTTCACATGTGGCCCATCCTGCAGGATCTAGGGGAAGAGGCTGCTGCTGCTACATTCTTTATATCCTGCCTTTCTGCAAATGTCACCAAGGCAGATATTGATTTATTAATGAAATTACAGTTATGGACCAAAAAGAAGAAAGCAAAATAAAAGCCTATTTGTGGCAAATGTTAAGTATGCCTGTGTTAGGGTCAAATCCAATGGTTTCTGACCACCATTGTTGTGGTACAGAATTTGGCCACTTTCATGGTCTTGATCGTTTAATCAGAAATGCACAGTTGCCTGGTCCGGATAATTTGAGATGAGGGGAGAGACTAGTTCCATCTGCCAAGAGTGATAGATAGGGCATTTGGAAAGTACACGTATGGCCGTTTCAATCTCAGCATGCATGAGCACTCTGGAGAGGGGATATTACTGAATCTCCCAGTCAATACTCTTGAAGGCAGAGCATCTAAGGGTGACAGTGAGAGTGCCCTCTGTGTGAGGGCACAGGTATAAAGTTAAAATATTTGGGAATGGTAAAAGGTGAATATACCAGCTCATTGTAACAGAGTTCTGAGGTGTTAAGTCTGTCCCTTTGTACTGTACATTGAAGTTGAAACTTCCCTGTATGATCTCACTCCAGGCTTTGTCAAAATCTAGTGTAGATAGGGATGGATGGAGCCCACAATAGTCCAGATTTAACATTATTTGCTTCTTCCATGGGGAACTGTATTGGTTTATCAATACACCACATAAAGATAATACAACCTGATTTAAGCAACATTAACACACGAACCTAAATCTCCTTTGGTATTTGAGCATCTGTGCCAATGGAGCATTACATAGGAACAAAAAATTGATAGAATTTAAAGGAGTTGAAATTTTGATGACCTAATATAAAGTTATGGAATGCTAATATATAATTTCTACAACAGCCATCTTTCTATAGAATGGAAGTTCATGGTGCATGTGGCTTTGTGCCCTCTGCTAATAGAAGATAAACTTTTTTTTCCAGCTAGGAGCTCTGTCTATGATTGGGAGTGCTTGTGTCCATATAGGCTCTCAATGGATAAGAGCACTTAATTTTACATCAGAAATTATCAGTATGTATACAACAGAAAATTCAAACTAAAATAAAAAACTAAAAAAATAATTAAAACACATGCAACATACAATAATAATCCTGCCGTATATCTGAAGGCCTATTTTTGCTTACAGTTACAGTGCTTGCAAATGGTGAATTGCTAGATATTAAATTTCTCCTAACCGAATCTATATCATCTAGACCAGTGTTTCTCAACCTTGGCTACTTCAAGGTGGGTAGACTTCAACTCCCAGAATTCTCCAGCCAGCATAAGTCCACCCGCCTTGAAGTAGCCAAGGTTGAGAAACACTGATCTAGACATTACAGGATATATAAACATATGAAACAGCTGTTCAGATCCACAGGTTTGGATACATTAAGCTTACTCATCATATCCACTGATGCTTCAGTATAAGAAAACTTTTAGAAGTAACTAACAATTAGACGGTCTTTCATTTGCAATAGGACTAACAGGAATACTAGTTTCTAGGGAAACAAAATGACTTCTCAAATAAAAAAAGATGTGAAAGACATACACCAGAACTATTCATAAGCAAGCTCAGTTACCAAATGCCTGTATTTACCTGGTAGTATGTAGGCACTCTGCACTTCTTCCTCGTTTTGCCCTGGGCAGCATAAGAAGCTCACTGCGCAGACAGGATTGGACGATGAATGAAACAGTTACATAAATATGAAGCATTAAATAGCATGAATTATGCCATGATATGTAAATGAAAACACAAAATAAACCAGAAAGTCTGAACTGAGATAGTTATTTTGATCAAACTTAAAGAAGAATTTATTAGAATATTCCTTTTACATGTCAGCAAAAAGTAGCTTTCACTATATTCGGCCAATTTTTCATACATAAAGGCTTAGTTCAATTAAACCTAATTTGCTTCAACAGTTCTCTAAGCAGCCTAAATTTACCCACTACTGAGCCTTAACATCCAAAATGGCTTTGAAAGTTTTGTTTCTCAAGTCACATTTGGCAGGGTTCTCTACTATTTTACATTGTCAGTAAGTGTAATGAAAGTGAATTGTTCACTAAAATAAGTACAAAATGCTCAGAATACAGAATTAGGGAAGTTCAAAAATTCCTAGCAATTTAATGCCTTAGTAACACACTTAATGTTAAGCTTTCAAGGTTCTTTTCATCTATTCTTGATAGTAAATGCCTATGTGTAAAATATGAACCCCTTTTTTTAAAAAAAGAAGGCACCATACATTATAAAAAATTCCTATATGCACATTTTAGCCTGGTCCAGACTAGCGTTTCTTCGTTAGAAACAGCTACAGGTTACAGGAAAACATTTAAAAAATCTGGATATATAAAAATGAATCCACCATAAAAAAAACTAATAGATTATTTTGTCAAGTTACCATGTAAAGCTTGTAAATTGTTTATGAAGCTGTGACATTATAAAAAATCTATTAAAGATCATGTTAAGCAGACAGATGAATTTAAACATTTTTGAAGTAGCAAAACTCTGATCTATATGCCACCATACTATTATGTATTTGGAGAGTTTATCAGCAACATAAATTGAATAATAACAGAGAGAGAAAAAAGTGTCAGTTTATAATTCACTGCCAACTGGCATACTATCCAACAGAATTATACTAATCTTAGTAGTAAAACTATTCAATTTAATATTTTATATATAAACTGAAACACTGCAAAGGAGGATAAGGAATAGTGCTATTCCATAAATTCCACATGGAGAATCATGTATAAATGTTCCCCTTCCAATCTTGTCACCAGGGAAGCATTAAAGGAGGAGGTATGATGTGAAGTCCTTGATATAATTGGTTGGTTGAACTGCTGCGCCCTATCAGATTTGCAAAAGTGCCACCACATGTCACATTTGGCCTACAAATTCTAACAAAAAATTACTGATGTACACATACAGAAGCATGCCCAAACAAGCCACAAAGCTGAGATTGCTATGGAGGGAGATGAATGCTCCCTTGTTTCTTATCTGTCCTCCCACAGTTTATTAAAATGGCTGCTGATTTTTCAGAGGACGCTGTTTTTGTAAAGTCCAGCAGCCATCGTCCTGTCACTGTAGAAATCAGAGCATCAAATACCCCACATTCTGTTCAGAGAGTTCTTAACACAGTTCTTACAGAGCGCTATTTCCTGCAAGGTCCAGTTCCATATAACTGTTCAGTACCAAAGCCAGTGAATTAAGGTCTTTAAGCGTTGAAAAGGGTGTCTTTTGAGAAACTGTCAGCAGACACAGTGGCTGCAACAGTTCAGTAAGCTGGAAAAGGTCTGGAAAGGGTGGGTAAAAGGATTGCTCAATGCTGCCTTAAGACTGAAACAGATACTTGGTTGCTGCTGTTACAAATATGATGATTTTTTTCATCTATTTTAGACAATAAATATTTTCAAAGCTACCCAAGTACTTTAATAGAAATGCACATTCTTAAGATGAAAGAACATACCCTTCTTGATCCGATAAATACTGATTATCCATATCTCTGGGTCTGCGGTCAATTGGGCTTCGGGAGGCATCATGGTGTCTAGTTGGAGAACGTGATTTTCTCATTTGATGAATTTCATCTAAACTCCTGGTTTATAGAATAAATGAACAAATAAATATAAATATAAAATTCTTAAGTCTGATAACTTTGATGCAAATAGAGGAATACTGATCTAGGGATGTAAAATACAAATAATCCAGTCCATTATAATAGCTTTTCACAACCACTTGCTCTCCAGATGTGTTGTGGCTAACATTCTCAGACTTTCCAGACAGCACATAATTAATATTAATATTTCGTTCAGTGAATTGGTGGTGTCAGAAAAATTTCCCTTGACAGAGTTGCTAAATTCTGCTGAGATTTCCTTGATGTACCAAAATTTTGGCCAGAGTGCTAGCTCTGTATATGTAAATGAAGTTATTTCTTCCTTGACAGGAGAGCATAAGGACAAAATGATTGGGATCAAAAAATAAAATGCATTAATCCATTGATAGAATAATCTTGTTTAGAAAACAGTGAATGAAGAGTTGCCTTAACTATGTCATTGAGAGAACTGCACAAGAAACTAATAATTCTCTTTATGACAAATTGATCATTACAGAGGCAACAGTCACCCTTGTGTCAAAGGGAGCACAGAGGCCCCTGGTATGAAGGTGCCCAAAGTGAATATAAGCCTCACATATCTATAACCACAAGAGTCTGCCCCACTTACAACTGCCCATTTTTAAATCCAGATGAATTCAGTGGAAAAGATTTACACACTGCTAGAAACAGTGGGGTTCTGGATTGCTCAGTTTTGTATAAATGGTTAGAGTTAATGATAAAACAGCTGCATTTTCAACCTTACCTCTGTAATGGCACATTTGGTAAACGAGAACGGGTCCTGCCCTGATCGTCACCACGGTGAGGAGATACAGATCGTGAACGATGATGAGTTGTTCTTTGCTGTTCTGGCACAGTTAATGTTGCAGATTTACTTTCTCTAGTGCTAGACCTATAGCCTACTGGTAAAAGTGCAACAAAATTAAGTTAGTTCAGGTCACAAATGGCAATAACTAGATTAGTCTTTTCAAGAAAGCATCTCTTGCTGATTACAAAATTTTCAGGTAGTTATTTCACCAGTGAAAATCCAGAAATATCATGCAGCTAGGGCTAACAAATAGCATTATACTTAAATATATAGGAGGGAAAAGCATAAACATAGGTAAGAAGAATTTACGTGCAGACTAAAAAATTCCCAGAGGTGAAAAAATGAAAAGGAGCAAATATAATATCTAAATAATGATTAGATATTAATTGCTAGGATGGTCAATTTTTCAACTCTTTAGTATTTTTAAATGAAATCTGTACATCTCTGGCTGCAACACTGAAATAATGCTCTTGCCAAAATTATTGCAAACAACAGAATAGTTTATGAGTAATTGTTCTAGGATTGAAGCCTGGGTTTCTCTTTCAGTTAAATATTACCTGATGATGTGAATATGATATAAAAGTCATTTAAGAAAGTACTGCTCAACACTGAAAATATCAGTAGAACTTCTTTTGCCCTGAATTAAACTTTTAGCCATCACTATCACAAACTACTGTTAGCTAGACCTAGCACATTAAAAAAACCCCAAAAACAATAGGCAAAGAAAACTGTAACTAAATGCCATCAAGACTGCAAATTATTCACATAACTTACAAGATGAATGCAGACATGAATGATGCTTTCCACTGAAACTGCAAAAGCCACACATGGCTTTTTTTTTTTTTTAACATTTTGTTCTTCTTTAGGAAGAACTATCTATACACAGGTAGCACGATGAGCCAATGGACTTCAAAAAGAAAATCTTTCAAAAGGTGAGAAGACACCAGCTCACAATCAAGCTCTTCCAACAATAAGAAGAAAAGGCTGGATACAATAAACGAAGTCCTTAGGATGAATGCTTGGAAGCTAGCTGGCTAAATTATAGCGTGCCTTGTAAATAGCAGCATGCTGCTTAAATCAACCCTTTAGTTGAAGGAACAGTACATAAATTAAATATTAGTGGTCCTTAAAGAACCTCGGATTCTAAGGGATACAAGGGAGTTTATAGGAGCTCTTCTCATCCAGAGTATATTCCACGCACTTCTCTCATAAATTCTGTGTGATTGCTTTGTGAAATGGAAGATGACTTGTGACATGAATAAAATAATTGCTTATGATATAAATTATGAAATAGCTTTCTCTGTTTAATTATACTTATGTTAAAATGCATCCCTATCTGAAAAAATATCAAGGATTTTTAAACATATATATTAGACAATGGAAACAATATATGCTTTCATTCAATAATCTATGTTGCCACTGGCAGAAAGCATAAAACGGTCAGTACTGTATTACGAAAAGTAACAACATCTGGCTTAATTATTATAACAATACAGCTGAGATTATTCAGGTGCCATTCCTTAAGTTAATGAGCTAATTTAGAGAGGTGTTCAACTATTGTTTAAGAAAAATGGCAACATACATGTTTAGCTATTATTCTGGCATCCTTCTTGACTTTCAGTTAATAGAGCTTTACTGCATTCTTTAACATAATTAGCACCTCTAAAAATTATGGTAGAATGAGCCTATGATGATAGACTGCTTTGCGCTTGTTGTACTGAGTATAATGTGTATTAATATATACCAGCCAAAATAGCACTGGTTACTGTACTAGCTAGCCATATTTCAAATAGAGAAAATAAGCATAACTAAAAAATCTTTCAGACTGTTTATTATAGCTTATTATCTGGTTGAAATGTCAAGTTGCTTCTTTTAAAAAAAACTTTGAACAGACTTTCCAATTCAGGCTGTGATTGGCTGCAGGAAATATGCAGCACTTCCTATAATGTTGAACACTGTATTTCTAGAATTGTGATCTTTGTCTCTCCATAGAAATTGCTTGAATCTTCTTTTATGTATATATTTAAGATAATGAAAATTAATGAATGTTTGTAAGAGTTATAAAATATATAGCCATGCTTCATGCACTATATACAGCCATGCATTTTCAATATATTCCATGGTGCACCCGTCTAGTCTGAAAACAAGAACAAATTAAGTGGGTGTTATATTTGAGCTATATATTTGAATAATATTTTTGCATTATCTTTTATTTTAAAAAGGATCCTTGACCCATGAAATTCCTAGATTATGTACAAACAGATTTATTAGTTGCTTAAACTTGAATATCAACATTAAATATCAACATGGCAACAAACAGTTGCCAGTTACCAAGCACTGTAGATATAGCGGAATGGAAGATTAATTTTAATTAAGAAATAAATAAAGGTTGGTGTACATTTTACAGTGCGTCACCATGGAACAATACATCATGCACCTTTCTGGAAAACATGATCTCCCAACTCAGGGTCTTCCAAAAATCTAGAGAATTCAAACTTGGAAGAGGAGAAGGATAGGGAAGATGAAGCAAGGGATGTAGGACCATGCTCTTCACCCACGCACCTGAAGGAACTACTCCAATACCATCATCAACCTCATTATCTGAGATGTCACTATCACTGATTCGCTGAGATCCTGTGCAACAGTAAGGCAAATAGATACCTGTATACTTGGTACTTTTGGAAAGGGTTAAAATAAGTGTAAGCAAAAATTATTTGGGAGAGTCAAATAAATGGGATGCATTCAAAACTAAAAAAAGAGATAATAATAATTGTAAAAAAAAGCTATTGCAGAATGGCTTAGAATCAGAACACATTTTAATCTTTGGTATTGGCTATAGTCACAAGCATATTGTGAAAGCACAGTGACTCACTGGATTGCAGCATTTATTGTGAACCTGCTCCCACATGTACCTCATACATCTGATTTCACATGACTTGATTGCTATATATCTTATGATGGCCAGTTATGAAAAGCTTTCTGGATGTAAGCAGGAGGGAAAAATGAAAAGTCCATCTCAGATGTTAAATCCTTAGTTAAGTTCACACATCATGCTAAACCATAGGTTTATTTTAACCACATGTTGCTGAAATAACCATAGTATATTGATTTATATAAATAAGGTGACGTGGTAATCTCTAGATAGTGTTTGGTGGCCAGAAGTGGCACATTTTCATTAGCATTTTTTTCAATATTGATGGTCTAGAGAGAACATGGTGATACTATCAAAGGGGAAGGAATGAAAATGTTGACTCTTCTGGGGGAGTTAGGTGGATTAGAGACAAAATATAAGTTAATTATATCTATTTTGGCCCTTTATTCTGGGGGTAAAAATATGAAAGCATTTCAGCATTGTATCTGGAGTGTAGGCTCTGAAGATCACAAAAACAGGACTTTAGATACTGCATACAGCCTGCTGCTCACCTATCTCTACCATTACCCAGAGGCTGCAAACTACCACGACAAAATGAACACATCGTGCTGAACCAAACCCCAAACAATTCACATTATGGCTTAGTGCAACATGTGAACCTATCTTATGATAGTCTATCTGCACAAACTACTGATTGATGTTTTAGTCATTATGGGATCAATGAGTATCTATAAATTAGATCTGAGCCAAAATGGGCATTCTTTTCATTCTCATGTTTAAGGCTGAGCCTAAACAACCTAAGTGAAAAAAGTTCAGAGGTAATGAAGTTGGACAGTATTGAGAATCCTATTGATAAATTGTCAAAAGAAAAGTTACTGAACATATCAGCAGCAACACTGCACTCCTGGCAGCCATTTCTTGTATCCAAGTGTCCTCTAAAGGGAAAGTAGGAAAACTCCTCTTGCCCTGTCAGATTTCAGAATGATGGCAATACAGCCAAGTCTGGTCTTTGCAAAGGCTACAATCACAATATTATGCATGTCCCTTTAGAAATAAGTCCCACTGAGTTTAATGAACCCAATTTTCAGCCGAAAAATACTACTGTACTATGGAAGTTATAAAAACACTGAGAAAGTATGTGTTAAATGTTGATGCAAATCTTTGAAAAGCACACTTTTTACTGAATGTACTGTAGTTGCTTAAATCTTTATACATTTTACATCATAATTACTAGTCAAAAAGTCCTACCAAAATGAAAAGGGAATTCTGGACCTACTTTGTAATTTTTTGCTGGAATTTTCTCCACCATGGGCGTGTCTCCTTGGCATGAAAGGTGATGGCTGAGGCAGAGGTAGTGAGGATTCATCATGGGTCTGCAGCTTATACCAATGTGGATCATCGTCTAAAAGTGCAGTCTCCAACTCTATGAGAATCTATGAGGAAGTATAGCAAGATTCCTCTTGGTTTAACAATAGGGATAAAGCACTTCAAGATTCCATTCCACATTTAAAATACAAGGATGGTACATGCGCATTCACCTCTCCAAGGAAGTCACTTTCTTCTTCTTGCACTCTTGGCTGATCCCAAACAGTGATTTCTAACATTCGTTCTCTAAAATCTTTACGGTGCACGTGTGAATAGAGAAATGTTTGGTTCCATTTGGGTTCTAAGCTTTTCTTTACTGTTTTTGTCCTCCTTTTACTCTTATCACTGAAACATAAAAAGTAACCGTAAATCGTCATCAGAAATCCAGTTGCCACCCAGAGTCACTTGTTTGAGATGGGCAGCCATAGAAATTGAATGAATGAATGAATGAATGAATAAATAAATAAACAAACATTTCTGTCTCAGTCCTTAAGAGCATGAGGAACTACGCTCACAATAATTATTCCAGCGCTGACAGTTTCCTCTGCTGGCATTTTCTCTGAAAAGAGGCAGAGGGAAGACCCCTACTCAGCTGATTAGCAGCTTCAAACTCAATAACCCAGCAGCACTGCAAGGCAACAACAGAGCTGGAAATGGACACTATAAAAGATTGCTGGGGTTGGATTCACAGCTAAGCAAGTGAGGTGGCTGACCAACAGACAGACAAATGAATGAGACCATTGTGACAGTTGTTATCCACCACAAGCCATTTACTAAGTTAAATATTATGATTGATATATCATTTATGATTGATTAATACCCTACCATCCTGCCACAGAATAATGATCAATGCAGCTGACAGAAAAGGATAAAATGCAGAACACATTAGTTAAAAACACAGTGAAAACATTAACAATATAAATACATTACTTCTGAAACGAAAACTGCAATAATCTTACAATGAAATTAATCATTAAAACAACTCAAAAGCTTAAACTAAAAAGATGTATCTTGATAACATTCCTGAAAGGAAAAAAAAATGGGGAGTCAATTTCAATTTCAAAAGAAATTTATTCCAAAGTTTATGAGAGATATTATAAAGTGTACTTTTACAGGGAAGGTATCTTTAGAAGATTTGCCCGACTGAGCAAATTCAAATACCTTGGCTGCTGATTGTGTTATATGTTTTTTTTCTGGTTTTTTTTTCTTTTTTATATTGCTGTTTGTTCTTTTATATAGTTTTTTAGCCACTGTAAGCCACCCAAGTGTTTGAATTGGGCAGCCATATAAATTGAAATAATAAATATAAATACATTAATAATAAGAAAAGCAACACCTCTTAGATAGCCAAGTTCTATGCTACTTTTTGGCATAAAGTTTGTAAGTAATAGCTTGATCAAGGAAAATAACTGGCAGCTAGTGCAGGTCCTTCAGAATATTTTCTATTTTCTATTTATTAAGATTATTGTATATTGCAATTTTAATTGATTTTAACTGTTTTGTAAACCACCCAGAATCGTTTCAATGAGATAGGCGGTGACAAATATGATAAATAAATAAATAAATAAATAAAAATATCCTATTGCACACCATTTAGCAAGTTGTTGATATAAGACAGATGTTGACATTTGAAGCTAATGTTGCAAACAACTGGCCTCTGCTTGTGAGAGAAATACAGGGTGGGAAAAAACTAGACTGGTAAGGATATGGAGCAAAAGATTGATTATTCTAGAGCAGTGTTTCTCAACTTTGGCAACTTTAAGCTGTGCAGACTTCAACTCCCAGAATTCCCCAGTCAGCACGCTTAAAATTGACAAGGTTGAGAAACACTGTTCTAGAATAGAAGATATGCCAAAATAGTATATCATTCTTTGGACCAGAATAACTTTTGATGTTGTTATAGAAACAGATTCTGGTTTGCATCAAAACTGGCCACTAACAGCTCACAGAGAAGAGTAGTATGGAAGCTGCAATGAATTTCACTAACTATAGGGCTTAATTGAAGTGCTTCAGGCAGTACAGTATGATTTTTCATTTCAAGTCTTACCTTCTGTCTGGAAGGAAGTACATTTTCACATATGGGTTTCTTGGTCGTCCATCTAGTCTAGGTGGCAGATCTGTTGCTTGAAGAACATTCACTATTAACTGATGCCCCACCTTATCGTACCATAGTTTAACCTAAAATATTGAAAATAACTCTAAATTATCAATAAAAATGTATCAGTTTGGGTTCATTTTTATCCAGTCTTGGAGACTGTTAAAGTAACAATACATTCATTTAAAAATAGAAAAAATGAAACTAATTCTTCTTCACATTAAACCCTATCTGTAATATGCCACATTCAACTAAAAGATCTTGATCTGCTGAAATTGATTGAAAGGAAATCTGATAAGTAAAAAGTAGGAGAACTTTTCCCACACAAACTATAGTTAATCTATGGAATTCACTAAAAATGGGATGTTATAATGGCTCTTAGATTATTTTTAAGTGGGATTAGACAGCTTCATGGAAAATGAATCTATAAATGAATATGTATGTTATCTATATGCAATTTCCACTTCAAAGGCAGGTTCTGCAGCAACAACAGGAGAGGATTATTCATTTAGATTCTATAGGAGGACAACTGAAGGCAGGAATCAATATCTGAATGTGCAAGGTACAATGTACCCAGCAGCCCAGTCTTGAGCTGGTTTACACATTCAACTATACCATATTTTTAAAAGTAGTTTCAAATATGTGAAAGTTGAGAGTTCACTTCAGTGACTGCAATAGGCAGGAAAACTGTACAGGATGGGTCTGAGTTTACTGTTTTTGCCAGCTTTTCATATCAGCTGCCATTCTGTACACCCACTCCCTGTCCCAAAGAACTCAGTGCTCTGTAAGACAGCACACTGTCATTCCCAAAAGAGCTTCTGGGGAACAAGCTCCCATTAGAGCAATTAAATATCATTATGTAGCATCATTCATGTGCGTGTGTGTGTGCATGCACGTGTGTGCTCATGCATCTGTGTATGCACATGTGCGTAAAAGAGAGGTCAGTGGCTGGCAAATGGCTACTATGAAGAGTTCTTATAGCAGGAGTGAGTTTGAACATTTTTTTTTTTTTATCCTTTGGCATAGCATCGGGTTGGTCCTATTTTATAATTACATGCCCAGATGTTTTCTGAGGAATAGATTATCATGGAGAATATCTATATGGTTGCTAGGAGTCAAAAATGACTTGATAGCACATAATCAATCAATCAATCAATCAATCAATCAGATGTTTTAATGCTGTGTTGTAAGCATGCACATAAGTTCAGTTAAAGTGCAAGATCCTGCAACAGCAAACATTTTCCAAAGAATGCAAATATTAATATTTTAACAAGTCTGGAAACAGATAAAATGTGTTTTCTATGACCATAATTCTATACTTACTGAAAGCTGCCCAGGTAGGACCTGTGGGGCATCTTTTAAAGCTCCAGGACTAGTAGGGGAAATAACAGAAATTGAAGGCCGTTCCATTTTTTGAGATTCAAATGAGCTAGAACCTGGAAAGAAGATGAAGAAGACAGAATAATAATAGAAACCTGAAAGATAATCATCTTGAAAGTGAATGAGGTATGGATAACAAGAGCATATTAGCCAAAATAACAGCAATAATAAAGACAGAAATAAAATAAGTTCTTTCCTTTTTTGCCCTATCTGCACAAAAAATAAAAAATAAAAAATAAAAAAGGTAGAAATAAAAAAGAAGGAAAGAGAAGGACAAGAAAAAGGGAATAAAAGCACTTAGAAATACTTAGAAATGCCAAAAATATGCTACATTAAGTTTTGAATACCTGTAAAAACAATGTTAAGTACATGGATAGCTTTTGAAACTTATCAGTCAAGGAAAAATCAAACGTAACTGCTCTAGTGTGATGTTTTGCACTTACTGTAGTCCACACATAATGAGGAGATATATTTGTTACAAGAGGAGGAAAGCCATGATACTGTATAGTAGATTTTAAAAGACTACGGTAGAGAAATACTTGCATTTCTTCTTCAAAAGATAGGGAGTGATAAGGAGTTTCTTTAAAAATAAAGTAAGCCTCATAAAAAGAAAGAGTATTTGTTGCTGGAATTATTTCTCACTTGTAATATGACCAGTAATTGTGCCACTAGAGTTGTATGGTGAGGGAAGAATAGCTTGTTTTTTTTATAACTGTGGTTCTTTGGCAGTCATCACTACATTCACATATCTGGGTGATGTGCCTGCATAGAACTGTTTCTAGAACCTTCCAGAGCTGAGGCAGATTTTTAGGTAGGAAGTGATCTACCCAGTGAGCATCCTTATTTTTCCCATCAGTTCTCCATGAGGCTGCTGTAGCAGCCAAGACAGTAGGTACCTGTAGTAAAGAACATGATGGGTTATGTGAATGCACCGTTAATTGCTCAAGAAAACCACAATTACAGGTAAGTAACTGGATCGTCTTCATTATCTCTGTGCATCACATATACAGATGAATATCATACTTACCAACTGGAAATGGAAAAATACTCTATCAGCCTCAAAAATTGGGACAATTCAACTAAAGAACATCTGTTCAGGCTTGAATATTGAGGTGATAGTACCCAATAAATTTGATGGTTTGGAGCAAGTTGCAGCTTTACAGATTTGTGAAGTAGTAGGCAGTGGAGGAAGCTAGACCTCTCTCTGAGTGTTAATGAACCCTTTAAGACAGATCTTCGCCATCTTGCTAGCAAGATATTGTTCCTCCATAATCCCCTTTGCAAACATTGTGAGAACACGGGCCACTCTTTCCTAAGGCTGAATAAGAAACAGTTAAAAGAACTCATAAAAGGTTTTTACAAGGTCCAGGCAAAATGCAAGGAGCATGAAGGCATCCAGTTAGTGGATGGTGCATTTATAGGCAAGGAAGGAAAAGTAAAAATGGTCAGGAGAGAGGTAGATTGGTTTAAGTAAGAGTCCTAAACAACTTCAGATAAAAATGCCATTATCAGATTGCAACTTGACCCTACCCTTTATGAAAAATCCAGTGTGTGTCTATGGTCAACCCATAGGGTGAAGAGCTCTCTAGTTTGGTGAAGTGAAATCACTGCTACCAAAAGTCAACACTGATGGTAAGACGCTGAGGTCCACTGTTGCTATGAATTCAAATGTGATGTCAATGAGAACAGTAAGGACCATTGACAAGAAACAAACTTGAAATAATATCTCAATTTTAAGGCACTGGAACATCAAATAGATGGTTTGTGTGCCACCTTTAATGTATTTACAGGGAAGGGAAGGGAAAAAGGGAAGATCTGTAAGGCAGGAATCATACTGTCAGGTGCAGCATCTGAGATCTAGTTGGCAAAATGTTCTCTTGGTTTCAGATCAGAAAGTCCTGCCTTGAGGGGAGGCATTAGAGGCAGTAATGAGACAGGCAGATGAGAGTTGTAAAAGAAGGTTGTTGTGGCTGCCATGGGGTGCTGGTATGAAGCAGATAAGACACCATAAACTATTTTCTATCCTAATGACTAGTTATTTCAGGGACAACACATGAGAAAAATTGGTTGAAAAGTGAGCAAAAGCATGCTGCAAGGATTGATAATCAGTTCCAGCTCCCTCCCTGAAATGGAGGTAAATGTATTAAGCATTGATCAGAATGGGAAAGAGGGCAATCTTAGGTTTCTTTCATCAACAAAAGGGATGGCAAGTTATTCCTGGGTGCACTATCTGTTAGTGGCACCAACTGCTGTTTCTGCTCAGAGCACTGCCTGCCTCAAGAACTGCAATGAAAAGATATGACAATAGATCCATTGTCTTAAGCATTTCATGGATGGACAAAGCAATATAGAGGATCAGTCCCACTCCCTTTGTTTACCTGAAAAATTATTCCAATATTGTTAGACACACTGTTAATTAGATGATCCTGAAGAATGCATTCAAAGGCCTCTGAGACCTTCTAAGACAGACAGACAGACAGACAGACAGAGTTCCAGAATTTATAGTGGAAAGCTCATGGATGGCAGCTACACGCACGGTCCCCAACCTGCCAGTAAGGCAACCACTGTCACAGTGTGAACTAGAATTGGGGAAAGGCAAAAACAACCCTAGCTGAGATAGTAGGAGGTTTTCCAGCAGCACAGAAAGTATTGTACCTGCTATGGAATATGGAATTGAATGTATGTTAGAAAATCTCCCCAGGAATCAGTGTTATAAGGCCACACTCTCAATCCGAGAAGAGCTACCACAATAATTATAGAAGCCATCAAGTGTAATAGCTGGTAAACAGTCAATTCTAAAGCCATGTCTATACTCTGCCTTTGTTTAATATGGTAAATAGGTGCTATAATCTGTCCACTGGAAGAAATCTATGATCAGAGATGCCCCAGAATCAACAACATTTAAACTTCAAAACATTATTTATGTTTGAAATAATAAGAACCTTTGTCCTTATAAGTAAGGAAGGAAGCTTCCCTCATGATGTATACTGTATATTGTTATTGTGATGAAATCTCAGCTTGCTGCAGAAGCCCCTGAGGAGAAATTTTTCCTCATCAAGAATCCTGATAATGTCAGTATTGTGGAGCTAGAAAGGAAATGGAAGGGCTAAATAGAAACCACACTGAGGAGCATGAATGCTGGATGGAATGGTTCATGCCTAAAGATTCCAGTGAGGTTAGCCACCATTACATTACATACATGTGTAATGTACAGAGAACACGAAGAAGAGGATATGGTAATCAAAGAATAATAATAATATTAAACAATAAAATTCAGAAACTGCTGTGGAATAGTTCAGTGTTTGATAGGGATTCATAATATTTGTAACAATGAACCAGTTGTGGAGAAAAACTCTACGTGATATTTTCTTATGCAGAAAAATCACCTTCATCAAAGCTCCATTTTTATATAAAACCATCACAGCACAGAAGATATAATTGTTTAGTTTGGACAATTACCCCATACTTCACCAGTCATTGTTTATTTTGCTTCCTTAGCTATACAATCAGGAATTAATATTAAAGTTGATAATTCACTCTTTACTCCTCTAAACGTTATGCATTGGCTTTCCTACAAAGAATCTAGCTTATATTCAGCCAGAATTCACTGTGTTATGCCTACAATGGCAGAACTTGGACTTAACCTCAGATGACAAAATGGAAAAATAAGCCATATGATGTCTTCTTTTCTGGGTTTGAAAACCAACATTAAACCAGAACTCTGTAGTTCACAAAACTTTGGTTTAATACAAGGTGGGATTTTTGCATGGAAGTCATCATACAATGAGAGATGGGAGAAAAAATCCCATTTCTCATAATGATTACAGCTTAAGCCTGGGGAAAAATAGACCAAACTGAATAATTAAGTGAATTTGTATGATCAAGCAGTATATTTTGGCAGCTCTTGAAGTTCAAAAGGTAGGCATGCCACAATCTTGTGATATGACTGCAGCTGACGAGCTGGTATCTCTATGGTGGGTCAGACATTGTGAATGGTCTCCCTGGTAGTATCAGCTACTGCTACTTATTGTCCCATGTATTTTAGTGTGAGTCTTGCAGCCTATCCTTTGGCATGAATAAAGTATATACAGCGTCACTATCAAAAATAGCCGTGGGGGGAGGGAAAACTGAATAATACTGAATGACATCTTATGAATCAACATCGTTTCAATCTCAGCAGCTGGAACAAAGTCAATACTCACTCGACTCTAGTGGAGGATGAGAAGTCTCAGGAATCCTTGGAATGTCACTGAAATATACATGCATACAGAACATTTTGAAATGCCTGAAGTGCCAGCTGTTCCACAGAGCAATCCTATAAACTAATTTTCAATCCATATACATGATTATTTACTCAATGCTGTTTAATAAAACTGAGGGTTTAGTTTCAAAAAAACATCTAAAAAATCCCAGACTTAAAGTTTTTGACATATCTTTGCTAGACAGTTATTTTTATTGCAATGATTTGCTCAATTTCTTAAGAGAGGTGGGAACTCATATCTCTTGGCAATGATGATATAAACAGCAACTTCAATGTGAACACCATTGTATTTATGTGGTCAGTCTACAATATTTCACCATCACACAACAGGAAAAAATAAAGAGGAGAGGAGAAAGGCGAGACTACATAATACTAATTTGGGGAAGGAACAGGACTGAACTCATTAGAAATTTTTATACACACACCTGAAGGAGTTTGCTGAATTAAACCTACAGAAAAATCTTATAATAATAAAGAGAGAGAAGAAAGAAACTTGGAAATGGTTAAGCAAACAAACATAATCCCCCTTTTTAAATGCATCATGTTACAATATACATGGAAACTTAAAACACACCTAACTTCATTTATGTCATACTGCTCTTTAGTCCAGAAAGACTTCTGAAGTATACACTGCAGGACTTTTTACCTTTAATTCCAAATGACTTTACCCACCCTGAAACTAGGATTTGCCAGGCTTTAAACTTCATGGCATTTTTTACCACTGTCCATTAACATGTATGACATCATCTGGGCTGTGTAGAACCCGAGAAACTTTTGTTACACAGGAATTCAGAAAGATCATAGATATGATCCTGCCTTTAATGTAATTTAAATGCCATTCTTATGGACTTTGAAAGACTGCTGGCCTTTTAAAACATTACATTAAGAACAATAGAACAAATACTAAAAGAGCAATAAGTAAAATAGTCCTCCCTCCCAGCAACCAGTGATGACAACAATCTAAGAATTAAAAGCCCTAAATGACAGAGGAGTGGGTGCGGAATTCCAAAGGAGTGGAGCCATCATGGAAAAGCCTATTCTCCTGACTGCCCTCCACAGACTTCAAAGGGGAGGGGGGAATCCTCAACATCCTAACTGGTTGGGTAGTTTTTTAGGAGATAACCCTGAATGTATTCAGGGAGCAAGATATTAAGGGCCGCACAGATAATAATAACCAGCTGGTTACTATCTGTAGCCAATGTAGTATAGGCAACACTGATGGTATATGCTTATGGTGGCCCTCACCCATCAACAAGAGGGCTGCTAGGTTTTGCTGCAGCTTCCTGATAGTCTTCAAAGGCAGCCCTAGGCATAGTACATTGTAGTAGTCTACCCTAGAGGGGGTGAGGGCATATTATATGTGTATGCCTGCATTTATGATGGGGGAGGGGCTAAAAAAGAAATTGCAAAGCAAACTTTACCCAATAGGCCTTGAAACAATAATTTCAACTTGAGGTTCTGATTTGGATTCTAAAATAATGTTGTAAACTTCTTCATTTGTAGCTCCAGGAAGTGGTTTACCATTCCATTCTAGAACTTCATCACCTGGAATTTAAAAACAAAGGATACTTTCTTTTGTATGATTTCACACCCAGAGATATATGCATGGACAAATATAAATTGTTAGCTTATTTTCTAGGCTAGATCTGTGGATGTAAATTCAGAGATAATAAAACTTTGCAACAGAAAATTACTCTTCTTGAACATACTTCTGATATCAAAACACTAAGCTGTCACCAGAATTGAACTGGCCAGGCAGAAATATGTCAAGAAGCCCAATTCACTTCAAGTGGGCTATCACCCAATTCTGCTAGCACACATGCCAGCATGCAATGGGGCCAGTATTGCTAGCTGGAACACAGCATGTGCCATTAAAGAGGAAGAACGCTGCTACCATCCCTCCTCTCTCAGTGCTAGTACCAGCCCTTCTTAATCAGTATAATCTACAGTATATATTCTAGCCAGCCAAGACTAGTCAGGCAGCATGAGAAAAATTAAAATCCATTCAAGAGCTCAGCTGAAAATTGAAACTTTTCAAGTGGTTTTAATATTCAATGTTCTCAGGAAGTCTCAGATTTTTTTCTATGTCAGGCTGTGAGCAGCTTAGCCACTTTGACATTAGCGTGCAATGCAGCATACTTCCATTGTAACACGGTTTGTTGATTTATTATTATCTGAAGGTAAAACCTGATGGTTTCCTTCCTTTGGTCCAACAAATGTTTTACAGAGCTCCTGGACTTGCAATGCTTCCCATTATTCATTTTAACAAATCTCCGGTGTAGAGAAGGTCATTTCCTTCTCTCTGCCAAGTTTTTTTTCTATTTCAAAAATAATAGTAAAATCTGACACTTCCACAGTTTTGGTTTACAGAAAGGCACCCTTGGTCATTAGCAGATGTATACAGCCAATGTTACAAAGAGTCTCAGGCATGTCTCTTCATCTGAAGTTCATGGAAATTAGTCTAGAATTAAGGTTTGGTTTTTGTTCACATAAACTGATACTATTATCAATATCTGAATTATACAGAAATCTTTTAAGTTCTTTATACCTTTCTATCAAATATAAGTAAAATCTATATACTGTTAGAGACATAGTAACTTTATACATGATAAAAATAGTTTTAGCATATGTGAAACTTATCTTTGTGTACAGAGTGCTTCTAAAGTCCATCTATGCACTAATAAAGACATTTTAACCAATATAATTGTGTTCAGCTGGAATAGATAACCGTTACATTGCCCCCATTGCATTAGATTGAAATATTTACAGAGGGAACAATACACTGAAACTGCAAATATAGTACATAACAGCAGCACTATACAAATGTTGAGAATATTAAGACAAAATCATTCCCATAACTGAGATACCTGCTCTTAGATGTCCCACCACATCAGCCAAGCTACCTTTCTTTACTTTGGTAATGAAGGCACCAAGTCGTCCTAAATCGGTCATTTTTCCTCCTACAACCTGAAAATAGATATGCCACCTTTCAGAATACCAAACTATATTTTAACTAAAATAATGGGAATCTATATTCAGTTCAATGCCTTTTACCTATATATACCACAAAACCTTGCATCTTTCAAAGGAAAATAATTGCTTGTCCCAAATTGATACTTTATGTGATTTTTAAGAGATCCATATTCATGTGACTATGCAACTTGCAAAGACGTCAGCTTGAGAACCCTAAAGGTATATATGCTTGTAGAAGTGGAAGTTATCTATTTACTTCAATTTATCACCCATGAACATTTCTATCACTAAGCTTGTTTTTTGCAAATATTGCATTACCAAACTAGGTAATGTTTCTGTTGGTTTTTAACCTTTTGTTTGCTCCCCAGAGCTGCAGCTGGTAAGATGGGTGGCTATCAAATCAAGTAAACAAACAAATAGCATCATCAGTGTTTTGACTCACAGTAGTGGAGTTTGCTGGCTTTTTATGTATGGCAGCTTGTCTGACTGATCTTAATCAAGGTTGTTGTATGTGTGCCTGTTTCTGATTGCCCTATCTGGGTTGGTTGGCTGCACTGTTTCATCTTAGAGTATTTCTGCCTATTGTTTTGGTTCTCACTGATATACAGTACTGTGCAAAAGTTTTAGACAGGTGTGAAAAAATGCTGTAAAGTAAGAGTGCTTTCAAATATATATATTGTAATTGTTTATCAATTTACAAAATGCAAAGTGAGCAAACAGAAGAGAAATC